GTCAGTGAGAGAGGCCGCAGCGTGTGCTAGGACAGACCATTCCTGACGCTCCTTATTTACTCAGGGTGCTCGCTCCCCTTGTCTCCGGCCGCTCCGGCTGCACTTCTTTCTCCCGTCCTCTCGCCTACTACTGACACTGGACGCTCACCAGCACTCAGGCTTTAATTCATTTTCACTCTGCAAGGCCTTTCTTTCAAATCTCAGGTGTTCTCAGGCTTCTCCTTACACATTAACGACGTACAGCTTTCTATTTGTGCTTCCTTTTCCTGGGCTTTATACCTATAGCCAAAAGCCTATCAAATACCATGGTTATCAACCTAGACATCTCAGATGTATAAAATGTACAAGACTAAATTATTTATCCATTCAACCATCCCCATTTCACTAACCCATCTACTACACACCTACTAATTCCTGGTACTATTTCCTGTCTGGATTAATAAGTGGATGGACCACCAGTTGAGACCTAAAATCTAACATGAAGAGACTTCTTCCTATCGCTTTACCATTTAATATCTAGGTCATTTCAATCCTTGTCCCTACATATCTATTATATCTCTTCCCCATTTCCCATCCTAGTCCAAATGATTTGATTTAAGCTCTCAGCATCTCTTGCATGGGTTACTGTGATGGTCTTCTGTATTAGTTCCCTAGGCCTGCCAATAGATGGCTTAAAACAAGAGAAATTCATTGTCTGATAATGCTGGTGGCTAAAAGTTTGAAATCAAGGGGTGGGCAGGGCCACACTCCCTCCAAAACGTCTAAGAGGACCCTTTCTTGCCTCTTCCAGCTTCTGTAGCCTCAGGTGTTCCTTAGTTTCTCACTGCATAACTCTAATGTCTGCCTCTGGCTATCTGTTCTGTGCACCCAATGTCCCCCTATGCATGATACACGCACGCTATATAATACACACACACAGTATTTTAAAATTCCAGACTACTAATCATCTTTCATGCCCACATTCACTCTCAAAGTGTTAACAGTTTTTTGACAATAGTTTATTCGGTCACCCTAGCTTTTTAAACTTCGGAACACAAACAAGGAGGTAAGAACTCACTGGATGGGATCAGGGAAGGTTTATTTACGACATCAGTCATATTCTGTTAAGGATCCACCCTACTCCAGTATGACCTCATCTTAGCTTAATTGATAATATCTGCAACAACTCTATTCCCAAATAAGTTCACATTCTGAGGTACCATGGATTACAACTTCAACATACCTTTTGGCATGGGGGACACAATTCAACTCCCATCACCTAAAACTAGCCTGTCATCCAAGTTCATTCTGTTGCTAGAGTGGTTCTTCTAAAATGGAAACGCTCTCCTAAAAGGAGACCAATAACAATATAATAATTCTCAGTGAGTTAGCATGGCATACAAGGATGCTCCAAATCACTTATCCTTCACCAAACCTTTTCACCTATTTCTATTTTTTCAAATCTTTTTATTGCTGCTTCTTTATATCATCTACCTGAAAACCTCCTATTCATTGAGTCCCAAGCAACTCCTCCTCTCTGGAACCTTCCCTGATCACATTCATTAGTTGTTTACCTCCTTGTTTGTGTTCAGATGCTTAAAAAGCTAGAGTGACCAAATAAACTATTGTCAAAAAACTTTAACACCTTGAGAATGAACATGGGCACTAAAGATGATTAGTCATATGGAATTTAAAAGTAATGTGTGTGTGTGTGTGTGTGTGTGTGTGAGAGAGTAAATCTATTTTCATACTGGCAGACCTGTAAGTGGTTCTATTCAAACATTGCTTTTAAAATAATAAAGATCACAAACCTATGGTCACCTTATCTTCGACAAAGGAGGCAAGGATATACAATGGAAAAAAGATAACCTCTTTAAAAAGTGGTGCTGGGAAAACTGGTCAACCACCTGTAAAAGAATGAAACTAGAACACTTTCTAACACCATACACAAAAATAAACTCAAAATGGATTAAAGATCTAAATGTAAGACCAGAAACTATAAAACTCCTAGAGGAGAACATAGGCAAAACACTCTCCGACATAAATCACAGCAGGATCCTCTATGACCCACATCCCAGAATTTTAGAAATAAAAGCAAAAATAAACAAATGGGACCTAATGAAACTTAAAAGCTTTTGCACAACAAAGGAAACTATAAGCAAGGTGAAAAGACAGCCCTCAGATTGGGAGAAAATAATAGCAAACGAAGCAACAGACAAAGGATTAATCTCAAAAATATACAAGCAACTCCTCCAGCTCAACTCCAGAAAAATAAATGACCCAATCAAAAAATGGGCCAAAGAACTAAACAGACATTTCTCCAAGGAAGACATACAGATGGCTAACAAACACATGAAAAGATGCTCAACATCACTCATTATCAGAGAAATGCAAATCAAAACCACAATGAGGTACCATTATACGCCAGTCAGGATGGCTGCTATCCAAAAGTCTACAAGCAATAAATGCTGGAGAGGGTGTGGAGAAAAGGGAACCCTCTTACACTGTTGGTGGGAATGCAAATTAGTACAGCCACTATGGAAAACAGTGTGGAGATTTCTTAAAAAGCTGGAAATAGAACTGCCATATGACCCAGCAATCCCACTTCTGGGCATACACACCGAGGAAACCAGATCTGAAAGAGACACGTGCACCCCAATGTTCATCGCAGCACTGTTTATAATAGCCAGGACATGGAAGCAACCTAGATGCCCATCAGCAGACGAATGGATGAGGAAGCTGTGGTACATATACACCATGGAATATTACTCAGCCATTAAAAAGAATTCATTTGAATCAGTTCTAATGAGATGGATGAAACTGGAGCCCATTATACAGAGCGAAGTAAGCCAGAAAGATAAAGACCATTACAGTATACTAACACATATATATGGAATTTAGAAAGATGGTAACGATAACCCTATATGCAAAACAGAAAAAGAGACTCAGATGTATAGAACAGACTTGTGGACTCTGGGAGAAGGCGAGGGTGGGATGTTTCAAGAGAACAGCATTGAAACATGTATATTATCTAGGGTGAAACAGATCACCAGCCCAGGTTGGGTGCATGAGACAAGTGCTCGGGCCTGGTGCACTGGGAAGACCCAGAGGGATCGGGTGGAGAGGGAGGTGGGAGGGGGGACCGGGATGGGGAATACATGTAAATCCATGGCTAATTCATTTCAATGTATGACAAAAACTACTGTAATGATGTAAAGTAATTAGCCTCCAACTAATAAAAATAAATGGAAAAAAAAATAAAATAAAAAAAAAATTAGAAAAAAAAAAACAAAAAAACAACAAAAAATAAATAAATAAATAAAAGTAATGTGTGTGTGTGTGTGTGTGTGTGTGTGAGAGTAAATCTATTTTCATACTGGCAGACCTGTAAGTGGTTCTATTCAAACATTGCTTTTAAAATAATAAAGAAACTGAAGACAACCATTATAAAATTTCTGTTTCATATGGTCTGGTAGATTTTTAATTTTTAAAGTAAAACTGTCTATAATGTTTTTCAAAGTTTCATTTTATGGTTACTTATTTTTAAATTGTTGACACTTTTAATTGACTCCACTAGAGGTTTATAATATTTTAAATTAGAATATAGTCTAAACAGATTTTTTAACAGATTGCTAATTAAAGGAGCTCCTCCTCATTCTTTTTGTTTGTATTGAAAACTGTATTTTACCTCAGATACTTCCACATATACTGTATGTATCATTATACTTTTTGCCTCCCTTCTTAGTAACTTTAAAATAAATATTATTATAAGGAAGAAGTTCATCAAACCTATGCTTCTTTTGAATGCTTCACCAAATTTTAATGCCACAAAATTAAAGGCCTTCTCAACTTATTTCATACTAGTACAAAATACAAATTTGTCCAAAGAAACACAGAAGACCAGATAAAATGTTCATTTTAGTTTAGATATGTTAGTTGAACTCTTGTTATTTATCTTGCTCAGTTTTTCCTTTACTTTATAGAGACAGAGTTCAGTGACTTCCTGTTCATAAACCTTTTTTAAAAAAATAATCACAATTCACTAAAAGTTTCAAAAACTAAACTGTTTTTTTGATATGCCTTTGATTGCTTTAGGTAAAGATTTCCAACTAATTCTGAACAAAATTCGTGTAGGGCACTTTGACTTACCCAGTTTTTTTTTTAAGTTCAAACATTAAAATCCAACTGATAAGTGGCAAAGAGAGAAACAGCGTGTGTGCACACGGCTGTGACAGAGAGAGAACGAGAGAGACAGACAGAGAGAAGAGTGCCAGAGACACAGCGGGAAGAGGAGGGGCAGAACGCGGCTGATACGACAGCGTGGCCCGCGGGCTTCTTCCCGGGACCCACACCTCACGGCAACGCCACTGCCGGAAGCAGTCTGTCTGACCTGGACAAATGGCCCACATTCTAGAAAAAAAAGTATTATGACATTTCCCTCAAAATAAAGCCATGAACAGAGGGAAATCAGTCTGGGTTTTGTTGTTTTTTTTTCCATTTTGGAGACTGGCTGATGTATGGTCTTCCCAAACCCTTCACAAAATAAGTATAGTATGGTCACTTTTCAAATTGCATAGGTGTTTATGTATCAAAGTAAATGATAAAATACAGATTGTTAATAGATAAACTGACATCCTAACTACCTACTAGGGCATTTATAATATCCTATTACAACAAAATCCTATTTAAAAAACTTTGGGAAACTATCCTGCTATTCATTATTTTCCCCTCATGGAAAAATCCTCTTGTTTATTTGTTTAAACAAAAATAAACAGAAACAATTTTGAAGTCCAAAGAGACAACTTTGTTTTAAAGCTGCAGTAGCTGATACAGCTTCTCATTGCTACCTAGGTCCACGTCCTCTGTGGACCACTGCAATACATTCAGAAGCCTGTTAGCTAAAGCATATCCTGCTATTTATTCTACAAAAGGAGAAATTAATGAGACTCCCTTGCTCACTGTACAAACACTCTGTGATATAGTGCACAACAGGTAAGTCCTTGCTGAGACTGTTATAGTACCTCATACTGATTCAGGAACATGTGCAGCTGCTGTACGCTGATCCTGAGATCAGTCTCGTTGAACTCATAAGGAATATTCCACCCCAGGGGGCCAAACTTGCGTCTCTCTTGTACCAAAGCATGAAAGAAACAGAGGCCATATAGTAGTTTCTTGAATTCCTCCTGTAATGAGAAGAAATGCTATAGCGTCATTGTTTCATCCCCAACATTGCATTATGCTTATCATACTTTAAAATCAAAGTAATTCCTTTTGCTTATAAATATATCCATGTCAAAGTGAAACTAAAACAGAGTTAACTTTTTCACTGGCTATTTAGGCAAAAATATGCTTATTTGCATACATGTTCAGTTGACACACACAGCCTGTACACACACCTGGTTTTCAGAAAGTATGGTGAGCTTGTCTAATCCAATGTTACCTTATATATATATATATATATATATATATGATTTTGGAGGATATCAACTTAAGCACCGCAAGGCAAAAACTATGAATTCCAATGTTTGTTCCCAGATCACCACGGAGAAATTTCAATGGAGACAGTTCAAATCAATTAAGAAACTCTACAAGCACTTTTGGATTGAAGTCTGGGGCAGCCTCACGGTGTTTATGCCACCACAGAAGTCGTATGTGCATGCGTGTGTGCATGCTCAGTCGCTTCGGCCATGTCCAACCCCATGGACTACAGCCCTCCAGGCTCCTCTGTCCATGGGATTCTCCAGGCAAGAATACTAGAGTGGGTTGCCATGCCCTCCTCCAGGGGATCTTCCCAACCCAGGGACTGAACCCACATCTCCTGTGTGTTCTGCATTGGCAGGTGGATTCTTTACCCCCTGGGTCACTGGAGAAGCCCATAAAAGTCCTAGAGTAACTGTCAAACACAAATCCAGTGTTGATTCAGAAATCAGAACGTACAATGCAATATGTTATTTGTACCCTCCACAAGGATATAAAAATGGTCAAACTAGAGCCTGAGGAAGGATTTGTGAAGAGATTTCCTTGGAAAGTGCAGCTGCCATACTGGGAGTCCACTTTTCTTTATATCCAGGAAGAGGAGAGGGGTATGTTGGGTCCAAGCTACCAGGAAGAAATTCATGGGGCCACTCAGAGAGTTGATACATGTCCCTGCATCTGGGATAGAGTGGAAAAATGCAAGATTCATGCCTAGGAGTATAGAGCAGCCTCTGGCCCGGGCCGTGGACTTCGGTGCAGAAATCAGTAGCTCTCCTTCACACGGTGGGCCTATCTGGAGCGGATCGCAAGGGGTGGACAGGGGGCTGGACTAGGAGTATTCACCAGTGGCCATTTCAGTGATTTTCTTCTCAAGGGGACTTGCGTCACGGGGCAAGGAAACCCCAACAGTAAGAGCCGGTATGAAGCGAAGGCTGGAGAACCAGAGGCTTCTGCCATACTGGGAGTCCACTTTTCCTTATATCCAGGAAGAGGAGAGGGGTATGTTGGGTCCAAGCTACCAGGAAGAAATTCATGGGGCCACTCAGAGAGTTGATACATGTCCCTGCATCTGGGATAGAGTGGAAAAATGCAAAATTCATGCCTAGGAGTATAGAGCAGCGTCTGGCCCGGGCCGTGGACTTCGGTGCAGAAATCAGTAGCTCTCCTTCACACAGTGGGCCTATCTGGAGTGGATCCCAAGGGGTGGACAGGGGGCTGGACTAGGAGTGTCCGCCAGTGGCCATTTCAGTGATTTTCTTCTCAAGGGGACTTGCATCACGGGGCAAGGAAACCCCAACAGTAAGAGCCGGTATGAAGCGAAGGCTGGAGAACCAGAGGCTGAGAGGAAGGGGAGGCGCTGCCGAGGGTGACGGAGTCGCAGAGCAGCCACGCAGCAAGAGGGCCAGAGAAGAACCCCGAGAGAACTCCCAAGGCAAAAGCAGTCAGCTTCAATCTCAGCCCCAGCACGTGAAAAGACGTTCAACACTGCTAACGGTTAGAGAAATGTAAATCAAAACCACGATGCAGTATCACCGCCTCACGCCAGCCAGGATGGCTAGCATCGAGACATTAAGTAACAAATGCTGGAGCAGGTGTGGAGAAAAGGGAGCTCTGTACACTGTTGGTAGGAAGGTAAGTTTGTAGAGCCACTATGGAAAACAGTACAGAGGCTCCTTCAAAAACTAAAACTAAAACTACCGTATGATCCAGCAATTGCATTTATGGGTATATATCTGAAAAAAAAGAAACTTCTAATTCAGAACAATATAATACACGCACTCTATTTACAATAGGGTTCATAGCAGCCCTATATACAATAGCCAAGACATGGAAACAACCCCAGGCTTCCATCAACATATAATTGGCTTAAGAAGATATGATATATACATATACACAATGGAGTATCACTCAAGCCACGAAAAGAATGAAATATTGCCATCTGCAGCAACACGGATGATATTAGAAAATATTTTACTTAGTGAAATAAGTCAGAGAAGAACAAATACAGTATGATATCACTTATATATGGAATATAAAAAATAAAACGAATCTATCTACAAAACAGAAACAGACTCACAGACACAGAAAACAAACTAATGGTTACCAAAGAAAGGAGGAAGGAGTCCGTCAGGGATCAACAGATACAAACTATTAAACGTAAAATAAACAGAAATCTCCCTGGTGGCTCAGACAATAAAGAATCTGGTTGCGATGCAGAAGACCCAGGTTTGATCCTTGGGGGAAGATCCCCTGGAGAAGGAAATGGCAAGCCACTTCAGCATTCTTGCCTGGAATTCCACGGACAGAGGAGTCTGGGGAGCCACAGTTCATGTGTCACAAAGAGTCCGATCCGGCTGAATGACTAACACCTTCACTTTCAAACATGAAATAAACAACATGGATTTACTATATAGCACTTAGGAATTACATTCATTGTCTTATAATAACCTACAATGGAATATAATCTAAAAAAACTTAATCATTTTGCTGTATACCTGAAACTAGCAGAGTATTAGAAATAAACTATACTTCGACAGAAAAGAGAGAAAGATTCCAACTCTATACTTCTTCCCTTATGGTTTGAGGCCTCACCAGGCCCAAGGTGAGATACTAGAGAGTAGAAACCTATGTTTTCAATAAAAGTTGAAATATCAATTGATGTATCATGTTGCACTTTCTGATTTCTGGTTCAAGACTGGCTCTGCAGTTTAAAGTGATTCTATATCATTTAATTACCTGACATTAATCAGGAAAGCCAGGAGACTACCCAAAGTTTAAACAAGGGCAGGGGGAAGTTTCCCCCCCATGGAGTAAAATCAAATGGGAGAGTGTGAGACGAGAGGAAAGGAGCATAAATTTAACCACAGAGGGGGGAGAAGCAAAGTTAAACATGCTAAGCTGATTCTGCAACTCTTCTGGATATATTAGATAACTGAGCAAATCAATACATGTGTTGAGGTGGGAGCCAGGCTTCTCACCATTGAATAAGGAACATGTGAATACGGAATGAGGAAAAGCTGGAAACAACCCAGGGTAGAGCAACAGAAATTGGAGGTATTGGGAGGAACTTGTTACTTCTAAAACATGTATATGAATGTCTGTGTGTGCACAGGGTTGTCTGTATGCACTATATGTGTGTATGCAGATTTGCATGTACATATTGTGAGTACATGTATATGTTTCCAAGTTCTCTCTAAAAGGATCAGAACTACAGACAATGAATGCTACATGTCTAGCACCCAAATCTTGGTCTCTAGTACCATTCCCCATGAAACAGGGACCAGCACTCTTCAGAAAAATGGCTGGTTCCAAGACTGGGGTCCAGATAAGCCTGGAGCAGCTTATGACAGAAAGAGGAATAATAGTAATAAACAATGGGACTTATAACAAGCACAAAAGCTGCTTCTGCTGACGAATTCTGGACAAAACTTGAGCAAAAACCTTTAGAATAGTAATGAATTACTAACCACTGGAAAAGATGTAAAGAATTTATGAGTTCACACCTATAAAAGATAAATAAATGAGAGAGAAGGCAGGGCAGCTGCTGACAACAGCATGTCAAGTGTCAAATGCGGAGGAGTTCTGGAGTTGGAATCACCAAGGGAAACAAGTGAGTCCAGCAAGAATCACCACTGGCTACTAAATCTGGCTCCCAGGTGGACTTTGATGAGGAAGAGGATGTCTTCATGGTCCAAAGTGTCTTCTCACAGATTATTCGTTGCAAGGGACAAAGCAGTTATTATAGAGTGAAGAAATCAGACCACACTTCATCTGGGGGATCAGAATTAGTATCATCAGTGAGAGATAAATGGGCATTGCATGCCTCCCAGTGCAAGCCTCTGAGGACATGACTTCACCCAAGTCGCACTGTGGCTCAGAACTTGTAACCTAAAACTAATCTCAAGGAGTGAGACATGTTCTATTAAAAACAATGCAGGGAGATGAATTCTTCAGAAATGTCAGGGCCCTCAAAGACAAAGGAAGGCTGAGGTAATGGTCCAGATTACAGACAAAAAGACATGGCAACTAACTGTGATCCTAACTCTGAACCAATCAGATTTACCCCAATCCCCCGGTAAATCAGGGAAAATGTTCTAAAGGACATTACTGCATCAACTGACAAATTTGGGACACAACACAAATTTGGGTAGATTAGATACAGTAGTGTATCCCTGCTAAAATAATACTACAATAATAACTGTAATTGGATAAGATAATATCTCTATTCTTAAGAAATAAGAACACTGAAGTATTTATCTAGGAATAAAGGGCAGTGACATATCTAACTTTCCTGCAGATGGTACATGTTAACAGGAAG